GATCATTTTCGTGACGTTTGAGAAGCGAATCGCAGACGTCAATGCGGCGACACAGATTTCTCTCTTTGAGAACATAGGGAACCCATACATAGAGCTTCGAGGATAATCCCAGGCCTTTCAAGTGGTCATAAACTGTTGAATTTGATAAATTTAACCTCAATCCGATCTCAGGTGTTGTTATTCGCCGGTTCACATCAACCAATGCCCTTATCGCGTCTTTATCAGCTTTAACCGGCCTTCCCGAACGTGTCGCATCTTCGACATCAAAATTGCCGGATCGAAATTTAGCGAACCAGTTCTGGCACTGGCGTACTGTCAACACACCTTCTCCATACACATCAGTCAATTTCTTTCTGGCTTGAACAGCATTTTTACCCTTTCTGTAGTAAAACAGTAAGATATGTCGAAAATGCTGCTTATCGCTCTCCATATTTAAAAGGGCACCAACCAAAAACTACTGCGTAGAATTAATTGGAATTTTTCACACACAAGCCTTGCTATATGAGCTCTCAAAGCATATAAAAATTATACGGCTTAAATGTGAAGTTGGGTGCAAAAGAATACAATTAAATCCTCTGTCGGGAAAAAACGAAATGACTTTCCGAACAACCCTATAGAAAAATTATCCGTAACATGCCACCGTTATATACCATGATAATGGACGAAATATGGGCTGTTATCAGTGAGTATACACCACCACTGGCTCCAGCAAGCTTCACCGAAGGGTCTGTGAGTGACGTTCCCAACGATCCAGCTATTACTCCTGCGAAATATATCAGCAAAACTCTCCACCATCGATGAACCATTTCTAGAGGCACTCCAAGAAGAATTTGAACCGCCAAATTGACCACTAGATGGAAGCATCTGTATATAATAAATAAAGATAAAATAAAATAACTGGTAGTATATTGTCAGTTGTAGACATTTATGATGAAACACTACTACTCTGGAGCAAAACCGAAAGGTACAACGGAAGGCTCTCTTCAGCGTTCTTGTATGAATTGTGGGAATGGGTAGCTGGTAGTTGAGGGAAAGAGACGATGAGAAGGACGAAATAGAAGCAGAAGAGAAGTGAATGAAAATGTGTGGAACCAATAGCATAATATGTTAATGTCATCCAAATTTTACGGAAACATGGTCGGATATTAGGAAGTGGTGACCTACTAAGAGCAGGGGGAAAATACATAGGGTGAAACTACCCTTTTTGTTTTTAAAACCCCGAAAGGGTGTACACAATTAATTTCACTTTTAAAGGCATACAAATTTTGTCTAAATCTTTTTGCAAAATGACGAGAACCAATTAAGAGACGTAACCGCCCCCCTAGTAAACTTTGTCCCTATTATGAGTAATGTTGAAGTTCATTTGAACCAGGCAATCGGAGCCGGATTCATACTGGTGCTATGTAACGACATAAACCGNTATTATTAATAATCGGACAGGTATAATTATTACTGCATAGTTATAGTAAAGGCTCATAAAACTAATTTTAAGGCACCCAAAAAAGGAAAGAAGTAATAATTACATTCACGATTATTTTTGTGCAATTTCATTAATAATATTGTACAGTTCATCACTTACACTAACCGTAGGACAATGCACTCACTATATTAATCATTGTATTTTTGGTACACCCTGTATATTCACATTATAAAAAATAAAAATTTACCGTTATTATATGTTTATATTAGATATCATATAAAAACCAGTCTTTTGTGTTTACATGTTAACCAACCGACAAATGTACCTAGACACGTATGTATTATCGAAAAAAGAAAAAAACAATATAATTTATGTCCTCTGCTGCAAGGACTATATTACATGGGCCAGTGTAATTAATACATGAACGATAAAAAATCAAGTTCCATCTACTTTTTGTGTGAGAACTGGTAACCAAAATTATAGTAAGAAATCTTATGATTCCCACGACCACTGGTATAAATTCTATTCTACAATTAAAAATTTTTCGAGTATATTTGAGTAGGGAAGTAGCTGACATAAGCAATATTCCACACAATGGCGAAACCCATGAGAAAAACGTAGGTGACTGTACTGATCCACCAAATAATTTTTTCGGCCCGGGTAACTCGAAAATTTCTCAAAATATGAATGCCAACCAGCAGGCCTGCCAACGCTCCGGCAAAATGGGCCGAGTAACCAATGTGTTCGTTTATATTTAGAACATACCTGTTGTAGATGGCTGTGCCCACGTCACAGCCCGTTATAATAAGAAAAATGAGAAGCTGCAAGGCTGGAAACTCCATTTCTTTCCAATTCTAAAGTAAAAAGATAGATTGACGTATTTTGTTAACAAATCAAACTATAGGGTTCTTCGGAAAGTCATTTCGTTTTTTTCTGTGGAAGTGAAAGACAGTTTTCGTATAATAAACAAATACTTTATTAAATTATATATTGACCGTTCTGGTCCAACACCTTTTGCCGTCTTTCTGGTAGTAGCATAATTCCACACTCATAAAATTTTTGGTCTTTGCTGGCAAAAAACTGATCGAGGAGGTTTTTGACCTCCTCATTTGAGGTGAAGGTTTTACCGTCTAAAAAATTTTGGAGTGACCGGAACAAATAATAATCCGATGGTGCCAGGTCTGGAGAATATGGTGGGTGTAGCATTGTATCCCATTCAAGCTGTAAAAGCTTTTGGCGAGTGACCAAACTTGTGTGAGGTCTCGCGTTGTCTTGGTGAAACACTACACCTTTCCTGTTGATTAGTTCTGACCTTTTCTGTTGAAGTGCATCATTCAGTTTGTCCAGCTGATGACAGTAGACTTCCGAATTAATCGTTGTGTTATCCGGTAAAAGCTCAAAAAAAACGATTCCTTTAAAATCCCACCAAACAGACAGCATCACCTTTTTTTGGTGAATATCGGCTTTGGAAATGGTTTGAGCCGGTTCATCTTTTTTGCTCCATGACCTCTTGCGTTTGACGTTGTTGTATACAACCCATTTTTCGTCCCCAGTGATGATGCGCTTCAAAAACGGATCATTTTCGTGACGTTTGAGAAGCGAATCGCAGACGTCAATGCGGCGACACAGATTTCTCTCTGTGAGAACATGGGGAACCCATACATCGAGCTTCGAGGATAATCCCAGGCCTTTCAAGTGGTCATAAACTGTTGAATTTGATAAATTTAACCTCAATCCGATCTCACGTGTTGTTATTCGCCGGTTCACATCAACTAATGCCTTTATCGCGTCTTTATCAGCTTCAACCGGCCTTCCCGAACGTGGTGCATCTTCGACATCAAAATTGCCGGATCGAAATTTAGCGAACCAGTTCTGGCACTGGCGTACTGTCAACACACCTTCTCCATACACATCAGTCAATTTCTTTCTGGCTTGAACAGCATTTTTACCCTTTCTGTAGTAAAACAGTAAGGTATGTCGAAAATGCTGCTTATCGCTCTCCATATTTAAAAGGGCACCAACCAAAAACTACTGCGTAGAATTAATTGGAATTTTTCACACACAAGCCTTGCTATATAAGCTCTCAGAGCATATACAAATTATACGGCTTAAATGTGAAGTTGGGTGCAAAAGAATACAATTAAATCCTCTGTCGGGAAAAAACGAAATGACTTTCCGAACAACCCTATAGAAAAATTATCCGTAACATGCCACCGTTATATACCATGATAATGGACGAAATATGGGCTGTTATCAGTGAGTATACACCACCACTGGCTCCAGCAAGCTTCACCGAAGGGTCTGTGAGTGACGTTCCCAACGATCCAGCTATTACTCCTGCGAAATATATCAGCAAAACTCTCCACCATCGATGAACCATTTCTAGAGGCACTCCAAGAAGAATTTGAACCGCCAAATTGACCACTAGATGGAAGCATCTGTATATAATAAATAAAGATAAAATAAAATAATTGGTAGTATATTGTCAGTTGTAGACATTTATGATGAAACACTACTACTCTGGAGCAAAACCGAAAGGTACAACGGAAGGCTCTCTTCAGCGTTCTTGTATGAATTGTGGGAATGGGTAGCTGGTAGTTGAGGGAAAGAGACGATGAGAAGGACGAAATAGAAGCAGAAGAGAAGTGAATGAAAATGTGTGGAACCAATAGCATAATATGTTAATGTCATCCAAATTTTACGGAAACATGGTCGGATATTAGGAAGTGGTGACCTACTAAGAGCAGGGGGAAAATACATAGGGTGAAACTACCCTTTTTGTTTTTAAAACCCCGAAAGGGTGTACACAATTAATTTCACTTTTAAAGGCATACAAATTTTGTCTAAATCTTTTTGCAAAATGACGAGAACCAATTAAGAGACGTAACCGCCCCCCTAGTAAACTTTGTCCCTATTATGAGTAATGTTGAAGTTCATTTGAACCAGGCAATCGGAGCCGGATTCATACTGGTGCTATGTAACGACATAAACCGCTACACCACTTCTCTAGGTGACAAACAGCGCTGTTTCACCATAAAAGTGCAGAACCCTGAAATGGTACTCACCCAATATGTACAAACATGTACGTGATGTACCTCCACGCTTCGTATCTCCTATGTGGATCGTAAATGAAGAGACTGGCTATAGGGCCTGTGGCGTTTACGGTGGAACCTTTTGCAGCATCTATTGCGTAAAATACTATTTCAATTAGGGATATTATAACCATCCCTAGAGCTGGAGGGCAACAAGTTGTGGCATCTTCGACTGCTCCATCTACTACTGTTCGATGAGGATCTCGCCGTCGAGGAAGCAGAAAGTGGATGTAACTATAAATACAAAAATTATCTAAGATCACATTTTATTGACCATGAACTGGGTTAGGTTAGACTAGGCTATTCCATACTGAGAAATTCTCTTTAGGAGATTCAAACCAATAAAATAAAAACATACAAGGCAGTAAGCGCCTACTGTTGAGATTCTCCACTAATTTTAGATTAAAATGTTCAACAAGGTCTTGTTAAATTAATAAGCTCTTAATTAGAATGTTGACCAAACCTAACCACCGCAGCAAGATTAGTTAATAACCATAGACAGCGCAACGAACGCCATCTATAGCTAGATATTCGCGACTAGATTCATATTCGATCCGTGTTCAACGTTTACTGTTCTGTTTTTCAATATTGCTTACATGCCTACCTGTCTGTATATCTTCTGACAAGTTGTCCGAATATTTGTCCATATTTAGGATTGTGTACCAAATGCAGAAATTCATCGTAATTAAGAACACTGTCGTTGTTTCCGTCGCCATCTTTCAAGATCCTTTGGACAACATGGTCCGCAAGTCCCTCGGAATTGTTCTGACTAATAATAAATGCTTTCAATTCGGACATGTTTATAACACCATCGTTATCAGTATCCACCTTTAACAAATCAAAAAATGTTTTTTTTTTAACTAATTCTAAGGAAGTTTGGAAAAATTTTTTTAAACTCCATCACCGACAACTTGAAACGTTGAAATACAATTTATTCAAGGGATAGAACCCTTACACAATATACAGTACAGACGAATTAAAAAGCAAAACATCTTTTGAAAATACGATGAAGTGTAGGGAAATTTGTACAAATACATTTAGCCGTTCCTTTTATACAAATATAAGAGAAGTCAATAGAATTTAAATCCTTTGAGGAGTGTTAAGTACACTTTGTTCAAAAGATATTGGGAGTGCGGTTAGTTTAGGACAGTTTTTGGAGAAGCTATAAATAGACTTGATTAAAAACTGTAATTTACTGAAATATATGGACAGGCGCCATATATGCCACTTGAGAAATCATCATCATAAGGTCGTTAGACACGTATCTCCACTCTTTTCTATCCTGCGCTAATCCTCGCATTTCCCTAAAGCTACAACAACCCACATCCTTAATTAATTCCGAACAGTAATCTAATCTAGGTCTACCTTTACAACTCCTAACTTCCGTTTCTGCCTCTAATATGTCTCTGACTAGACCTTCATGCCTGAGAAGGTGTCCTACTAGCCTATCTCGTCTCTATTTTTGATTAGCTTCCATAGAGTCCTCTGTTCTCTTACTCTTTCTAATACCTCTTAATTTCTAACCTTCTCTATCCACGGTATCCTCATCATTTGCCTGTAACACCACATTTCGAACGCTTCTAACCTTCTCTTTCCCGCCGCGCCCACTGTCCATGTTTCGCAGCCGTACAACGCCGCGCTCCAAACATACACCTTTAACAACCTTTTTCGAATTTCTAAATTAATCGTTCGCGAGCGTAGAAGTGACTTCTTTATATTGAAAGCAACTCGACCTTGCGCTATCCTCTGCTTTATATCCCTACTACTCCTTCCGTCTTGACTTATCTGATTTCCTAAATACCTAAAATCTTTCGTCTCCTACCTTTATATTCGCTCTTTCCCTTTTTCTTTTGTTAATACCGCTTCCATTTTATTTAAAGCTATCTCTAACTCCTCCTTGCTAGATGCTTATATTTGTTTTGCCCTTCTTCTTCTGTCCTGTTTTTGTATTTCTTATATTAATCCAATTGTTTTTTTTTTTATAATAATAGTTTCCTACTGATAACAGATTAAAGTATGCCAAGGACAATTTGATTAATAATGCTATAAACATCTTGAAAAGTTATCTTTATCGTCGAGTATCAAACTCTAAATGTTTATTTTGAAATGAAAATATACCTTAACATAAAATTAGATACCAAATTACAAGTATTGCACCATAATAATAATTTCGTAATTCCAAGTCGACCACTTATCTCTATTGTTTAATCCAAAACTAAAGAGGATGTCGTTTTTTTTTTATTATTTTGCAGGTCTTAACAAAATTACTATTAGTTAAGTCTATCATGATAAGAGAACAGTGATCTGTTTCCCTCTCTTTTATTTTGTAATCTTTCTGTTGTGATTCACATTATGATATCAGGTAAAAAAACAAACAATATATATATTTATAGAATAGCATGGATCAAGATAAACCTATACAATAAAATACATTTTGTACACTATTAAAAAAAAATCAAAAATATTAACATTCGTATTAAATTTGCTCAGCTTGGATCCGGTACCCGTAGGGTTGCCATCATCTAAATTGCCGACGCCAGACAAACCCCCAAACATTTATGTGAAATTGAGTTTTTGGTAAAGGTCTAGATGATGGCCCCCACCCGCGGGGGTGGTGGGGGTCGAAAGAGGAGGTCTCCCCCACCACTGTACCATAAAAAGTTCGTGGCGGTCTCACGCCCATAAATAGTTATGGGGGTTCAAAGTTAATAAATATGCCAATTTTTATACATTTCTAGGCATGTAAATATTTATATAGTCATTCTCAAACAATATTCAAAGGTAACACTAATGAAAAATACATAAAAATATTGAGAAAGTTATATAAACACATTATTTAAATATCTTTATCAATAGGGTATGTTAGGTTATGTTATGTTATCGGGTTTTGTTCAAGTGACCACCTTCTTTCGATCCCCCACCTCCTCCCGCTTGAAAATATTTTTTTATTGAATTTTATTTGAATTATAGTGTATGAAAATTGTCAAAATAATCAACTTTCAACCCCCATAGCTTTTTATGGTGGTGAGACCGCCGCAAATTTTTTATGGGATTTTACTCAGGTGACCACCCTCTTTCGACCACCCCTACCCCCACCCTGAAGGGAATGGCGGCCATCATCTAGACCATTACCGAGTTTTTTCCCAGACGCCCGTAAAAAAATATTTTTGCACACAAAGTTTATATTTAAATTTCTTTATTCTTTTATACAGCTTGTTTGCTCATTATTTAGCAAAGCTACACAAAAATTAACAAAGACAACTACAGCGTAACAAATAAAATAGTCAAGTCAAACAAATAAAATTTTAGACTTAGAGTGAAGATCACGGTAAGTAATCTGATAACAGAATAATTAGGAACAGTCTTCTTTTTGGCATCAAATCATCAGATTTTAATTAGAATTTTTGATTTAGTTCTTTTTATTCATTTTGGTACCTTTCAGACTTTCCAATTTTTGCTAAAATGTCTTTTTTCTTCATCAGGAATTTGTGAAAATTTGAGCAGCTAAAGTTCTTCAAATTATACTTGGTTTTGTTCAGAGAAGAAACCGTGAATCAATTATTAACTAAGGTTTCTTTTAATTTATTGCTTATCTTCCAATTAATTAGGATTTCCCTGACACAAAAAATGTGTTTAAAACCGTTTCCGCTCGTTAAAGATAAATTCGAGGAAACCCGGATAGATGGCAGGCCTAGGTACCCGCCCAAAAGTGGCGGATCGGCCGGGTACCGGATGCTTAATGGTTAAAGGTAACGACAAAAAAAGAAAAACATTACTATCCCTACGACTTTTGCGTTAGGAAATGTTCGTAATGTCCTTGGACTAACTTATTTGCAAATTTTAAATATTAAATTCACCCTATCAAATATAATCGGATGGTAGACTTACCCTCGCAAACACACTCCTCCAGTGCTGATCAGGATTGCGTCTCTCCCTTAAAGGCATTTCTGACGCATCGGTGTTTGATCTTGGTCCTATACGAAAAGGGAATCTTCTATTGAACGAACTCATTTTTTACTTTTTTTATTTTTTTTTAAAGAAACAGTATAAAGGCTAATTGGATTTAAATTTTATTATTATTAAAAAACTTTACTTATACATATATGAATATATATTCTAGCACATTAAAAATATATGTAATCATCGTTCACCGTGGGACGATTACTAATGTGTAATTATAGATACATTTGCAAACAGCTATCAGTTTATCAAAAGTTTATCGTAAATGCCAACTTTATGACATGAATGTGATAAAGTTTAAGTACATAGGTATACGGAAACACTTTCTAATACAATTATTATACGCAGAAGTGTATAGTACTGCCATCTATCGCGTAAATTATGAAGTAAAGTTGGTCCTCGTTCCGTTAAAGCATTAGGAGCAGTTGAAACTTGAAACACAAACGTTCTACGCAAATAAACGCATTTTAATACATTTATTGAGCATGAGCCTAAGATAACCTAACCTAACCTAACCTAACCTAATGTCTAACTAAGTAAGTCGAAGTATAAAATATGTGTAACTGACTTAGGGGACAGCAAAACAAGCCGAGACTTAAAAAATATTTGTTTTTTACTTTCTAGGAGCATATTTTCTTTAATTATTAGAGCGAAGTCTCTTATTGCAGGTTGCAAGTATTTAGCCAACAAAGATCAATGTTGCCAAATGAATTTCTTTTTATTTCGTAGTTTTTTTTTACTGATATTTCCGTCAAAGAAAGTTTAAACAAAAAAAAAGGAAGAAACGTTATTCATAGGTATTTAAAGTGGAAGTAACCTTATAACAAGAATTCATTTCGTACAAAAATTAAATATTATATATAAAAGAAATTATGAGTGCTGCCAGCACGGGGTAAAGTAGTATTACGTAGTTAGTATCAGCAATTTCTTATGCTGAGGTGTACGATGTGTTGCATACCTATTTACAAACAATTCCTTTAAATTTAATTTTTCAAACAATTTTTAACACAATGAGATTGATTAAACAAATTGTTCACAAAAGTGAATTTCGACCACTCGAAGCAATAGTGTTAACAGTTTTGAGCTCACAGTGACTGATAGGGGGGAAGAACCTGTTATATTATAAATTAAATAAGAATCCCCTTTCCCTTAAGCTGTCTCTAATTTTCCTAGCTCTAGGGAAATTTCACTGGTTCTGGCAACGCTGGCCAAAAATTGAACGTGTTAGTAGACATCTCTCTCCCTCTTATTTACTTCTTACAAAAAAAGAGAGAGAGAGAGAGAGATCTGACAATTCTATTAGTTTGTCATCTAGTGAATATAATTAGAGATGAGCCTGGTATTCGGTTTGGCTCCGGTATCTCTACCCTCCACAAGAAACTTATATGGAATAATAATTCGGAAGGATCCGGGTATCCCACGACACCACATAATTTGTTATTTTTCTTTTTCAAATAATTCAGTAATCCCAAACTCAATTCTTAACATTTAATTCGCGGTATTTTACACTTTCTGCTTGACAAAGATACTTGATTTTATAGAATCGTTGTACAAATACTGTAAGCACTTTAAACAGAAAAAAAGCAATTGTAGTTGTCTTCCAGGAAATAAAACACACGCTCAGGTTCTACTGAAGTCAGCAAAAATATGTTATACCTTTATTGTGACATACATTTTTGTATTACTATTTTATTTAATAAAAATGTATTAAGGCAAAAAAGATATTCATGGAAATCCTAAAAATCTTTGTTTTGTATAATATTTGATTACTATAAATGCAAGTGCAATTAGTATCTCATTCTTTACCTAATTTTATTAAACCAAACAACATATGTACACTTTCTACCAATGAAATCTAAAACATAAAAAATACCATGTAATAATTCTTTTTATTACAACGTAATACATCAAAAGTGTATTCGCGTACTCTATAAACAAACAATAAGAACATATCACCATAAATCCAAAAATCAGACAAGATATTTTAGTGTTGTTAGATATCCAAACACAAACATTCCTTTGAATTTTTTATCATTATCCAACATAACCTGATTTTGAAACAATTATGAGTGTCCAAAATGGTTGCAAAATCATCACAAATAACTTTTTTGAAAATAGTCCGATGGTTACAGGGTTGGTCTACTACGCGAGAGTGCGCGAGTTCTAATCCTGCAAACTGCTCACTTTTTTTTATTCTTATTTTATACCTACGGTTTGTAGAAAACTGAACTTTAGATAGGGGTAACAACAATAAATAAAAGCCCAACCTTTCCTTGTTCCTAACGCTATGATACTGATGTGTTTTCGTAATTATCGGGTAATCTTCTGCAGAGGGTGACCGAAAAAAACGCTATTTCGAAATCCCTAAAGTTACTAACAATGAGATGGATAAAATGGCTTATTTCGAATGTTTTCAAAAATGGCGTATCAACAGACACCCATTTGAAAATAAAATAAAATATTTCTGTTTCAATTTCACAGCCTAGGTGATTATTAGATGTCCCACTGGGTATACTTAGATCTATATCTATCCAAATAACTGTATGTCATTCTAACCTTAAAAATGTCAGTTGTACGTTAGATTGAAATTTAAATTAACGTGTTACCGCACATTATTCGATCCAAATGAGATGTTCAGCCTAGTAAAAGTGCGGGGAAAATTCATGGCCACTTTTTCAGCCTTATTACTAAACTTATATGGATATACGATTTTTATACCGGCAGTTTTTATGCCATACGGGCCCCTCTTGCCGGCCATTATTTTCCAAACTGGAGTATTCATACTAACTTGGACAATGTCGCTTTATCCGCGTCATCTAAGACTACTTGGGAATAGAAGTCAATTTTTAATTGATTTTCTAATATCGATGGCTATTTTGGAATTCAGTTTGCCCGGATTCTGGAACCCACTCGAGAGTTTGCTCATAAATTTGACGAATTCTTTCGGAGGTCGTCTGATAAAAATGGCGCAAAATTACGATGGAACCTTCGGGGACCATTTATACGACATGGGTGAATGTTTGCAAAGCGAAAATGGAACCGCTTTAGTCAGTTACACCTTAAGCGCGTTCTTCTTTTTTTCCGTGCTGCATGCAACCAAAATTTTGGATGTTAATATTCTGTTGAACTTTGTCATCTTCACAATCGCCTACGGTATCTACCATTATGTAAATTCCGATGTAGCAACGCAAATACAAATTTTGGAGAACATCTTTTTCGTATTAGGCTTACGAGGAATTTAAAAAAAAATTAATTTGACTTTGGTTTTATTTCAACGACAATGTACGTATCTACAGTAACATTTACATTTGGAAAATGTAAAAAATCACCACAAAAACCCAGAAAAATGTTAGTAAGAACCGCGTCCTCAGGATTCCTTACTTTTACCGTTATATATGATCTGAAGTTCTTCCTTCACTTCTAAACCTTCCTTGGTTACAAACTTCAAGTTTCTATCCTAACGGAAGGGATAAGCCCAATAGGTTTTAATCTCTGGATCAATATGTAAGGAAAGAAAGTACAACATTCCCTCCCGGGTGTAAACTGCCACTCGAACTAAAGGAATGGGTTAAAAATTCCTGGGAAGGCGGGTGCCATACTTTCTTCAAGAGACACTTGTAAACCTTCCTTGGTGTGAAACTTCAAGATTCTATCCTAACGGAAGGTATAAGCCCATTAGGTTTTGATCACTGGGTTAATTGTATGAGGAAAGAAAGTGTAATATTCTCTCCCGGGCGAACTGTCACTCAAACTGAAGGCGTTGGCTACAAACTCCCGGGAAGGCGGGTGTCATACATTCTTCCCGAGACCCGTATACGATATTTCACCATTCCCTACGATTTTTTCTGATTTAAGGAACCCCCCCAGAAAAAAATCGCATTTACTTACTGTTTATTAGGAGAATGGTAAAATATTAATATACAAAGATATTAAACCTTGTAAAATATCGAATATATACTAATCTTCAGCAATTTTCGTCAATAGTTCGACAAAATTCGGAAGTTCTATAAATGTCTGAATCTCTAAATTCAATGAAACGGAGTCAGTTCGAGTTTCAAATGCCTTGAATCCTTTATCAGCAATATTTGACGTATAATAGGAAAACGACCTCAATTTCGATGAAATTTAAGGCATAGAGGTTTACAAGGGCGAAAAATCAATTTGTCTAGGTCTTATTTCTGGGAAAAATCGTTTTCTCCATGTTTACAACCCGCCCACGCAATATGATTGCAAAATCATCATAAATATCTTTTTTTCAAAATAGTCCCCAGAGAGCGCCAGTTTCAACCCTACAAAAAGGTCACTTTTTTATTTTTTCATTCGTATGGTTTGTTGAAAACTAAACTTTAGATCGGGTTAACAACAAAAAACAAAAGCTCAATCTTTCCCTGCTCCTAACACATAATACTGATGTTTTTCCGAAATCTTCTGCAGTCGCCAAAAGAAAACGATGATATTTCATCTAAATTCCTACAGTTGTTGACAGTGAGATGATATAAAGCTTATCAAATTATATTGGGGGAGGCTTTTTATCATCCTATGGAATGGTAACACGGTAGACGCGGGCGTTTCGGAAATTGACCCAGACAGACAGACAGACGACAGTCTCAAAATCTGTTCCTAATATCCAAATATATACAAATTATTAAATTTAATAATCTTATTTTTATTAAGGAAAAAATAGTGCTTTAAACTTCATTGTAATTTATTTTTTTGAATCAACATATATATGAGATGGGTAGCTTTCTTATGTTATTTGTTGTAATGGAATAAATATTTAATGAAATTTTTATTGAAAAAGACGTAACTCTCAAAAATCGCTTTTCAATTTTCCTCGTTGCTGAACTATTTCCGTTCTTTTACATTTTAAGTCAAACTTCATAATTTCCGAAACACAAGAATGTATATAAATAGGCATTTTTGGTATGCGTATACCTGATCGCCAGTAGGTATAGTATCAATCAAGAGCATTTCAAGAGTCTACCTAACGGTTTCTTCCGATCATCTTACCTGATTCCATGGTCATCGAACTATCCACACAAAACTGTACACCTTACTAGGTTTATTACATATGCTTACACATCCATTTAGCAGCTCTTGTGTTGATGCACTTTAAGTCAACTAACGCGTTTTGAAACAAATTCTGGTTTACGTGTACGACATAATAATTGCTTTAACGCTCAAGGCACTGCACTACAAGCTGGCTACATAATAATAATGACGATCTATCTGGAAAGCGGCTTGTGCCTGGAGAAAGAAACGAAAATGTTGAAAGCACTTTGTGATTTTCTTGTTTCGTCAGACTTGAAAGTTTACTTCTTCTGCGCTTTTGTTATTTTTCATTGTTAGAGCACTGTTTGAATGAATTTAAAAAGAATGCACAATTTCCGACTGTTTACATTCGGCTTTGCTTTTCGTCGTATCCACCAATCAAGTTCCTCACATGATTCCTGCGCAATGGCATAACACTAGCAAGCTTCGAGTTGGGTTTTGGGCAGTGGTGGAACACTTGGAGTAATTGAGGGAGTTAAACTCATTAAAGTTTATGACAGATTTTTTATTTATGACAAAGGTGATCTATATTCGTTCGCAGAGGGCAAACAGCACAATTTTTCTGTAAACAAAACGTTGATTGCTACAGCGTCCTTTTGAAATTTTAGTCATTGCTTTACAATTGGTTCTCATGGAGCGTCTAAAAGCTCTCTCTTGTACTGTCTTCATCTGGTCTGTCTTTCGTCTTTTCCTTCTTCCTATGATTCCTGAAGGATGCTGAAGAAGACCTTCCATCTTACTCAGCACCATTATGCACCACACTGAAAGTAGATGAGACATGCTATCCACCATCATCAGCGAGTGGAAATGAAGCACATCATCATCATCATCAACATCGTAGGATCGTCAATCTTAGAACTGGTGGACACGCACCTCCACTCTTTTTTATCCTGAGCATTTCTCTAAAACTAGACCATCCTAGATCCTTAACTATTCGTTAACTATAATCTAATCTAGGTCTATCTCTACACCTCCTAACTCCTGTTTCCGCCTCCAACACCCTTCATACCTGAGAAGGTGTCCTACCAATTTATCTTACCTATTTCTTATTGACTTCCACATAGCGCCTTCTGTTCTCCTACTCTTTCTAATCAAATTTTTTAACTTCCCTGCTTGCATCATAATTGTAACATTCCACGCTCCGACTGGCGCATCTTCCCCTATTGCACTTCTTAATGACATTTCCTGAGGTAATCCCCGCCCGGACATCTAAATGGGGAACCACTTTACGTCCAGAGGGCTTTAATGAAGCATATCTTGTATTGTATTGGTCAGTCACACTCGTAACCCAAGAGAACTAACTATTTAACCATTTCTTATTTTCTGAAGAGAAATTAAAGAAGAAAAGTTTTACGAAAACAAACTAATACCACAATCTAATCTTGGGGTAAAAGGATCTTACAAAAAAAACTTCATAAAAGATCATTTCTTAATAAAATATAAACCCTAATAAATGCAGCAGAGGATTCGATGTTCCTAGGGAAACAAACCCGAACCTGAATGGAAGATTTATACATTCACTTTACACTTTATATCCCAATTGTATCTACTAAAAACTCAAAATAAATAAATGATAATAAGAAATATTTGACTATAAGAAATCCATTATGTATCGTTTCTGTCATTTAAAGGTTACATTTTGAAGTACCAAACGTCAAAACCCAAAAGTTACGATTACCTGTACCCTGTGGAAACATTATATTTAATTTATGAGTTGAACGAAGATTATTCATAATTCATTTTAAATAATGGTGTAGTAAATGGTAAGGTAATGATGCATCTTTTTTTTAGTGCATAAACTTTTCGGGGTTTATTATATTTAACCTCTTTCGACTAACTCAAGTTGCGCTTCTGTATCTATTAACACTTTAATCCATACCGCCCTCTGAAAAGGGGGAATCGTCAGAGCGGAAACCAGGACGTTTAAATGAAAACAAAAACTACAAAAACCTAGTATAGTATTCACGTAACTATTTCAATTAAGCAGTTACTGATAAAGAATACAAAGAAATTCTTTTCTGTACACGTTAGAGACTTTGTTTTCGATAATAATATAACATATTGCTTCTAATTTTAAGGTAATCGTTTTTCAAACGTAATTATTGTAGTGATTCATTTGGAAACAATCTACGATCAACTTGTGAACATGAAAATGGTGACTGTGACTATATTACAATAATTGAATTGAAATCGATAGTCGACATTAACGATAAGCATGAGTCACTTCGACGATAATTATGTTAAAAAATATTCAGCAATTTACAAAACTATTTATGATGTCAGTGATTTCAGACTGAGGTTCGTAACAAAAAAATTATGGCACATTATTTGATGCACCTAATATTTCCGCACCACGTACCAATTGATGTTAATTAATTATTTATTATTAAGCATATCGGCAAGCAAAATAATATTGGCTTGTGTCTCCCCAGGATTACATTAAAAGAATTACCGAGTAACAACAGTCCAGAGGATGGCCGTGAAGAATCTAAGGTGTTTCAATGGCAAGAGAAAGTATACAGTAAGTCTGAGCGCCTATTCTACGAGAACTACGCAAATTGTTTGTCGGACAGCGATAGAAAACATCACGACAATGTTCAAAAACAAAAAGATTACACGGGATTGTTTTTCACTTATGTTTCTGACGACAGTATACCAGAAGAGGTAATAAAAAAAAAACGTTCGTTTTGCTTATAAAGCAATGGTACGGAAACCCCATGGTCCGACGAGTTCCGACTCGCACAGACGGCTGGGTGTCTTTTGAAGATTTCCCCTCTTCCACGAAAACATAAAAAAAAACCGTGGGTGGATGTGTAGTTTACGACACCATCCCTGATGTTAGCTCTCTAAACTAACAAACTTTCTCAGTGCTGCCAACATTACTTTTTGGCACACCTAAATTTTTAGAACCATAAAGTTGTACTAGGAAAGACACCACGAAGAAAGTGAGTGTTGACCATCATGGCAGTTGCCTGCTCTATTGTATTGTCTTTACGGCAGCCATGCGCTTTGACCTTATAGGTTATGTTGACAGCATTGCAATTTTACCACCTTGCGAAGGTAACAGAACGAACACAAAAAATAAATTTACAGAAAAAACTCAAAACTTGCATGGTATAACAGCAATTAAGCATTTTATAGGGTTGTTCGGAAAGTCATTTCGTTTTTTTTGGGGGAAATGAAAGACAGTTTTCGTATAATAAACAAATACTTTATTAAATTATATATTGACCGTTCTGGTCCAACACCTTTTGCCATCTTTCTGGTAGTAGCATAATTCCACGCTCATAAAATTTTTGGTCTTTGCTGGCAAAAAACTGACCGAGGAGGTTTTTGACCTCCTCATTTGAGGTGAAGGTTTTACCGTCTAAAAAATTTTGGAGTGACCGGAACAAATAATAATCCGATGGTGCCAGGTCTGGAGAATATGGTGGGTGTAGCATTGTATCCCATTCAAGCTGTAAAAGCTTTTGGCGAGTGACCAAACTTGTGTGAGGTCTCGCGTTGTCTTGGTGAAACACTACACCTTTCCTGTTGATTAGTTCTGACCTTTTCTGTTGAAGTGCATCATTCAGTTTGTCCAGCTGATGACAGTAGACTTCCGAATTAAACGTTGTATTATCCGGTAAAAGCTCAAAAAAAACGGTTCCTTTAAAATCCCACCAAACAGACAGCATCACCGTTTTTTGGTGAATATCGGCTTTGGAAATGGTTTGAGCCGGTTTATCTTTTTTGCTCCATGACCTCTTGCGTTTGACGTTGTTGTATACAACCCATTTTTCGTCCCCAGTGATGATGCGCTTCAAAAACGGATCATTTTCGTGACGTTTGAGAAGCGAATCGCAGACGTCAATGCGGCGACACAGATTTCTCTCTGTGAAAACATGGGGAACCCATACATCGAGCTTCGAGGATAATCCCAGGCCTTTCAAGTGGTCATAAACTGTTGAATTTGATAAATTTAACCTCAATCCGATCTTACGTGTTGTTATTCACCGGTTCACATCAACTAATGCCTTTATCGCGTCTTTATCAGCTTCAACCGGCCTTCCCGAACGTGGTGCATCTTCGACATCAAAATTGCCGAATCGAAATTTAGCGAACCAGTTCTGGCACTGGCGTACTGTCAACACACCTTTTGCATACACATCAGTCAATTTCTTTCTGGCTTGAACAGCATTTTTACCCTTTCTGTAGTAAAACAGTAAGGTATGTCGAAAATGCTGCTTATCGCTCTCCATATTTAAAAGGGCACCAACCAAAAACTACTGCGTAGAATTAATTGGAATTTTTCACACACAAGCCATGCTATATGAGCTCTCAAAGCATATAAAAATTATATGGCTTAAATGTGAAGTTGGGTGCAAAAGAATACAATTAAATCCTCTGTCGGGAAAAAACGAAATGACTTTCCGAACAACCCTATATATTTTTCGGTGGAGGCATCTTCATCCCAGTGGTATCGATAATATTAATTTATAAATATGAAAAGGTTCTTCAAACGTGCACATTTGATAGTCACAGTTCTACGTATTATACAAAGTAAAGTAAATATTATGGCAGATTGCCTCTATTGGATTGATGGAGTGACATGTGCTAGTTGTTAGATCGTAACGTTGTAATGGAAGGACAGCGACTCGATCCCGGTTTCCATCTACAATGGTCCAACTTTTGAGAAGGCAAATGCTGAGGCAATACTCCTCCACAGATAAGTGTTGCACTTCTCTACTGCCTTCCATCTTGTCCGTCTTGACTTTTTCTCCTTAATCACTACTATTCACCCGCTAACAAAATTTCTTCGAGCATCGGTTCGATTTCGAGTACATTTACTCTGAGACAATGACTTCAATTCTCTACTGTCTTCACCCCATCGATCTTGTCTTTTTCTCCTTAACCATAACCGCAAACCCATTTCCAAAATTTCTATGAATACTGGTTGGAGATAAATGCTAACACAGTAATGCTTCACAGATGAGGGTTTCACTTCCCTATTTTTTTTTATCTCGTTCTTCTTGGCCCAACCTTTGGAGGCAATAATGTCCAATGGGTAAGGGTTCCACTTCTCTACTGTCTTTACCCCATTCGCCTTGTCATTCTCTCTTTAACCCCTACCACCAATCTATTTCCAAGATTCCTAAGCATATCGATTTGATTTAAGGTACGTTTACCCTGGTCCAAGTCTTGGAGCTAAATTCTGAGGCAATAATGCTCCACAAATAAGTATTTCACTTCTCTACTTCTTTCATTTCGTTCATTTTGGCCCAACACTTGGAGGCAGTAATGTTCAACATACAAAGGTTTCACTTCTCTATTGTCCTCGCCCCTCCCATGTTGTCTTTCTCTTCTTAACCCTTACCACCCACCCATTTCCAATATTCCCAAGGATACCAGTTCGATTTATGGAACGCCTTCCCTGGGCCAAACTTTGAAAATAGGATAATGCTGAGGCAGGAATGCTCCACAGATAAGTGTTTCACTTCTTCACATTCTTCATCTTGTCCGTCTTGTCTTTCTCTCTCTTTGTCTCCTCAACCGCAACAATCCGCCCCTTCCCACAATTCTTAAAGACGGCTAAAGAAAATAATTTTTCGTCTTGCCCCCCCCCCTTTTTGCACTACGGTGTAGGTGTGTGGATCGGTCTCGAGAAAGAAAGAATCTACATAACTGAGGATGACACATTGGGTGTCGAGACGCGTCATGTAACTTGTCTTAAGTGGGTTCTATTAAATATGCATCCACTTAAATTTTGTAATTGCTTTGTATTTTCCGATTAATTTATCTTCTTTTTGTTTCTAAATGAGCACTCATTTGTCAAATATGATTGATATTACCAATACCACTTAGATGAGTATGATGTTATTGAAGAAAACGTGATTAACACTTGAAAATGTCACCAAAAAAACTTAGACACTTTATAGTTTAATATTTCGTTCATATATAATACAAAATATGTATCTTTTTAAGTCTCCACTGAACAATACATGCGTAAAAAGTGACCTAGTTAACAAAATGGAGACTTTGAAATTAATTAATGATAATGGCTTTCAAAATTATAAAAACTACGATTTTGAAACAAGTATTCAAAATGCAATTAATAATCCAGTTGTTGGTCATAATTTCGAAAAGTACCAAATAATGGCCGATTTTGGGTAAGTGTGTCTAAATTACAAAATGATTTAAATAATAATAATCAACTGCGAAACTGTAGTCGTTATATCGACGATATATGGATTAAAAACGAGTTTATTCTTTGTACGATAAAGTATGACAGGAATAATCAAATATTGGTAATTAATCCGGATTTTTCGGAAGCAGATCCGTACTTGCTAGAATTTGAAGATGATAAGCAGTATGCATTTGTTTATCGCGTAGAAGATGTTTCGGAAAATATTAAGACCAGTCCTAGCACAACAGAAGAAGAAATTTGTGAAAAGGTTGGTGGATTATTAATCTAATATCACACCCTGTATATATTTGACTAGGTCGATTTGAAACAAATCTCCATACGATTCTGTATTATTTGATGAAATTTTTTCGTTTTCGCTTACTATAATTGAAAATTTCTTCTTTTTTTAAATTATAAAATTTGCAAAGGTCATTATATATACGAAAAACATTTTCTTTAAAAATATAATTATTATTTACCCGAAAATTATTACATCGCACGCCTCTGGTAACTGTTTTTAACCACGTACGCAAAGGTGTTTAGTAAGGTGTAATGTTGGTTGTATAACTTTCTGACCATATTCTTAATTTTATGATACCCATCTTCTATTAGAAAATGCCTTTTATTTTGTATTTAACCCTGATGATACCATAATATTGCCTTATGGTTTTTATTATTATTACTATTGATGAATATTATGAAATGTCCCATTTGAGAACAAAAAACAGTAAAGGAATTGAATTAAACGTTCAGTTTCATTTCAGATGATACAATATCGACATCTAATAAGGAAACGTAAAATTGGTACAGATTTTGAGTTACCACCGCTTAACAAAATGAGGGTATTCATATTTCTTGAAATACTGGCAGCAAAAGATTTTGAATACAACGACATATATGTCGAATACTTGATTGATTTACCGAAAAGATGGTCCTGCAGTGATAATAAATTGCTAACTGGTCGTACTCAGTCTTGTCATTCTTATTTAAAAGACAATTTATCATTTTTTGGATCTCCTTTCGAAATAATTTTGGAATACAATTTGGTTGATTTTGATGCCATTTTAGAAGCACCCTGTATATACTTCGAGGTCGTTTCGAAAGACGGCTGGAACAGGTATAGAACCGAAGGCTTGGCTTACCTGGTCTTGCCAGTCTCTCAACCAGGAATTTACTCTTGCAAACTGAACTGTTTGCGAATGAAAGGAGCTGGTCCGTTATCAGAATTAAGACGGTTCTTTATTGGTGATTACAGGGGAAATGCAAACATAGAGTGGATAAATATACCAAAAGATTATGAGGTTAGACTTTCAAAATAAAAAAAAATATTCCTGAACAACTGGGTCATCCTGTTTTTTGACTTTGTTTTCCTTTCAATTTTTAAAAATACTAAAGAGTTATCAAATAACCAAAAATCGACCAATCAAAACGTCCCTATTAATTAATTATTATCTAGTAAGCGTTAAAGAACGAGCGCTCTGGTTTGTTAATTGTTTCAATTGTTAAAACACTTTTTTGGAAACACTAACCTGTTAATTGATTTTCAGGATACAATTTTGAATAAATTTGGATCCTACACTGTTGGTACTGGCCAACTGGATGTTAGGTTCAATATCATTAACCAATCTCAAGCATTTCTAGATGAACTAGGACTAACTGACCCTCAAAACGCCATTCTCGACAAGTTGAGGTGCTCCAGTTTAATAAAAACCGTCGAGCAAGTGTTACAAAGTTTCAAGGAAGCGAAAAAGAAAATGATTGAGGCACGAAGAAATGTTTGAAACCTTAATTACTATCAATAAACGACTAATTAAGAACCAAAAATGGCTTTTTGTAATTAATAATCTAATTTTTCTGAACTAGAGCATCTTCACATTTCGGCTCAAGTGCTCCGAAGAATGTCTGGAATCTCCTATACTTAATGTTCAAAGTTTCTCAATTTTGGTGTGAGTGTGGGTTTGCGGGTTGACCACCAGCTACCAAACCTCAGTTTAAAATAAGCTAGTGGGGGTGTACTAGAATTTTCTTGAGTATTTCTGGCATTGTTCTCAGGTTGTTCTCGAATGCGTACGATTATTCTCGGCTAGAATTTTCTACAGTGAACAGAACCGGAAGAATCGAAAACGTTCTGGAATGTGCGATGTCTATTATGGGTGGGGAGGGGGGCTAAGAACACACTTATGTAAGAATGTTCTTGAATGTTCGTAGGGTGGTCCACATTTAGAATGTTCACCGTCTTGGCCAAAGTTCTGGGGGCAAAGCTGAAGCGGTAACGTTCCACAGAAAAGCATTTTACTTGCCACTACCCACTCGTTCCTATGATTCCTTCGCGTCCAGTTCGGTTCCGTGTACATTTGCAATAGCTCTAGTTTTTGAGGCAAATGCTGAGACAGTAACACTTCAGAGATAATAGTTTCAGTTTTCTACTGTCTTCACCTCATCCATCTTGTTCTTTTCTCCTTAATTATTTCGATCCAACCGTTCCATGGTCAATATTCCAAATGGTATCGGTTGGATTCTGAGTACGTCTGCTTCGGAGGTAAATTTTGAGACAGTAATTCTTTACAGATAAGGGTTTTACTTCTCTACTTTCTTCATTTCATCCGTCTTGGCCCAAATTTTGGAGGCAGTAATATTCAACAGAAGGATTTTACTTCTCTATTCTCTCCACCCCACCCATCTTGTCATTCTCTTCTGAACAACTAGTCATATCCAAAATTACTAAGAATACCGGTTCAGCACGTGGTACGTCTTCCATACCCTAAACTTCGGAGGCAAATTTTGAGACGGTAATGCTCCACAGATAAGAGCTTCATTTCTCTACTTTCTTCATCTCGTTTGTCTTGGTCCAAATTTTAGAGGCAATTTTATTCAACAGATAAGAATTTCACTTCTCTACTCTTTCCACCCCATTCGTCTTGTCTTTCTCTCTTTAACCACCGCTCACCCATTTCCAAAATTCCTAAGAACGTCTTCCATAGCCAAATCTTCGGAGGTAAATGCTGAGACAGCAGTGTTCCACAGATAAGAGTTTCACTTTTCTACATTCTTCATCCCGTCCGTTTTGGCCCAAATTTTGAAGGCAGTAATATTCAACAGATAAGGATTTCACTTCTGTACTCTCTCCGCCCCATCCATCTTGTCTTTCTCTTTTTAACAACCATTGCTCACCCATTTCCAAAATTCCTAAGAACGTCTTCCATAGCCAAATCTTCGGAGGTAAATTTTTTTTTTTTTATGTTTTCGTGGAAGAGGGGAAATCTTCAAAAGACAATTCTGTACTGCCTCCACTCCACCCATCTTGTCATGTTCTCCTTGGCTACTACCGCCCACCCATTTCCAAAATTCCTAAGAATACCGGTTCAACACATCGTATGTCTTCCATGGCCAAAACTTCGGGGGAAAATTTTGAGACAGTAATCCTCCATTTATCTCCTTTCATCTCGCCCGTCTTAAATTTCTCACCCACCTATACCCAAGATTCCCAGGAACACCAGTTCAATTCCGAGTATGTCTGCCCTGCATGATCCTCATTTATAATATTCTCAAATATCTAGGATTGTCCTCATATAAATATTATGGAGTGAACTAGACCGAAAGAATCGAGAACGTTCTGAAATGTTCGAGAACCATTGTGTTGGTGTGGTGGGGCTAGGTTATAACACTAAATTGGGGTATTTCCACATATTTCTACCAGTGTCTTAAAAATGTTTGTAATCTCCTATAATGTTTGAGATTTCTCTAATTTGGTGTCTGTTTGGGTTTGCGAGTCGTCCGCCAAAACCAAACAGCCATTTAATAAGTGAAAGCGTAACCCTGGGGAATCGGTGGCAAAATAATAGCGCTAGCATACTACATACATACACGACTATTTTTAACAACGTTTACGACATTTTTGAGTACTTATTTTTATACGTCCATTTAGCACGTGCTTAATTTTTAAAAATATGTACTACAAAAAATAACTTCCGTCAGACAAGAAATTTTCCTCGCAAACCGCGTGCAATATATCTCCAGCAGTTTCTGTAAAATTGGCAACGCAGCACGAAAATTTATGACTGGTCGATATTCGTTGTCCTTGACGAGTTAAATGGAAACGCGTTCGGTAATGTTCGTTGGTATGTCACGACGTATTTTGTGGACGCAAGCAACTTATTATTTCTAATAAATTTCTATTCAGTCAAACATAATTAGGGAACTTTTCATTTAACAGCTTAAAAATTTCATACAAACGTGGAATTTCTATTTAAAAACTAAAAAAAAATATTCTTTCTTGTCACGTAACAATTACAATTTCACAATTGCATTCGATCTTTGCATGGTCTCAGGAAAGAAAAACATATGGTACATAAATGCAACGTTGTCAAATTACACTCTCCACTGCTGACGTGTCTTTTTAGTAAACAAAATACCCTGACAAGGAATTGCAACACTGAATTTCTTTTGGTCAATGACATGAAATAGTACGTGAATTCTATAAAATAAATTATAGGTACCTATTAGGTATAATGTTGCACAAACACATACACTTAATAATTTATTTGACTAGAATATTTATGTAATTTTTTGTCGTTTCAGCTATTTTAGAATTTTTGTACGTTGAGGTTTATAGGTATCATAAATAACTATTTTTAAGAGCTAAATAAATAAAATACTTTATCATTTAGTATAATATACAGCAGGATTTCGATTATGATTATTATTAATCTCTATAGGATTATATATTTCGTTCTAAATTTATTGTCCACTATAAATGATCATACATATTTACATAGTTCTAAGTACCTATCGCACCTTTTTTGAATACCAAAATTAATAACTGATTAACTAAATAGGTACTTCTGTCTGTTTTTTTGTAATAATAGATAAAAAGTAATTAGCGCAGGAGTACTAAATACCTATTAGAAATAAACAACAGTAATTATAGGTATTCAATTGTTTTTCTGTAATTAAAAATAAAATAAAATATAAATACTGCAGTAACAATTTAAGCTGTGGTTTTTGTAGGTAAACCTGAACATGTAGGTACACACTGTTATTTTAGTAACTATTTCGAATAGGTACAGAATATTTATCAATGTTTTTACTTTTGTGTGTAAGTATTCATTACAGGCCATCTAAATTTAATTACAATAGGTACGAATTTAACTAAATATCCAATAAAACAAATGAAATGTAGGAAAAGAACCAAAAACCAAATTGTCAAATGGTTGCTTAATACTTCCAAGAAATATGAAGGTACCTATACCAAAATAAATAGTCCATGCCAAACTTTGAGCCCATCTAAATTTGATTCCCAAATTTAATTTCTCTAAAATGTACATCATTTCTGTAGATAGGTACCTACAATACAATAATAAACCTTATTAAAGGGGATAGAGCCTTAAATAAGAGACCGCGTTTGTAGATAGGATCATCGTCTACTTTAAAAGCTCTGATACCAATAGATCTGTATTTATGCCTTAAACTAGGTATAATATAAACGAATTTAGGTGCATTTTTATGGCATAAATTTGGAAATGTTAATGAACACTTTTTACAAATTAAAACAACGCTGGTACTTATTTGTGCAAGTTTGTAGGTACCTTCAACTAGCGAACCCCTTCAACTTAATTTAATTTTTCTATTCTCCAACAAATCTAGACGTAACTATCTACTTGAGTATTGTTTTTTTAAAAAATTTCAATTTTTGTATTAAACATTCCAAATACAATGCTACAGATGCGTAAGTTCAATCCTACTCATTTATAATAAGTATTTACCTATAAAAAGATACAGATTTGAAATTTGCCTACCTAGTTGTGCCCATCTGTACCACATTTCCACAATTTTTGTATTGTAGTACCTACCTAAGTACTAGGTACTATTGAAATAATTATAAATTGCTTCAGTTAAAATTGAAAAAAATGTCTCAATATCTACAAACACAAAACATGTAAACAAAATACATTTTTAGTACTATTTACAGCAGTACCTACTTAGTTTATTTTGTACTGTATACATAGGTAAATCAAGAAAAGTTCAATGACAATTTATATTTATGGAACATCTGAATCAGTCCAGCATTTAGAAGAAAAAAGTGTTTTCTTTGTAATAATCATTCAACGAAAGGTGTAAAATAGTAGATAGGTAGATAATAAAAATTCCGTTATTTTGACTATTTTGTAGCAACTAATAAAGTGTACAAAATCTTGTTAACATGAAGCCACATTATACGAAAACTACCTATGAAGGTATTAGAATAGGTTCGTTTAAATATACAAAATCGATATTGTCATAAACAGCTATCTACTTTAAGCATCGAAATTGCATTTTTTTTGTCTATATTGGGTATTTAATACAAATTTATGAGTTATTAACTATTGCTACTAATTAAAGTAGACTGGTCTTTATTATTTACCTAGGCGTTTAGTAAATGAAATTTGAGAAAGTACGCAGGTTGGTAATTTTGTACTTAAAGGTTATTTTTTTTAAATGCAAGGTCCATATTGTAAAGTTTATAAGTACAGGTAGGTCTCATTGAAAATATTTTAAAAGACCTATTCTATCAAAGAAATACAATAATTGAAACATGAAAATAGGCATTGTTTTCTAACATATTGCGTTCATTAAATTTAAAATTACAAGGAAAAGAAAGACTTATAAATACATGTGGGTAGTTGATTTAAAAACAACACCAAACGGTGAAACATAGTGCGGTAGATAATAGCCTTCCAGCTTTACTGTGGACTGTGGATAATGTAATTTTATTGGTAAAATAAAATTTTGGAAACAATTTCATTTTTCCTCCCATTCGAC